CTTTAAAAAGAGCAAACTACTGAGACAAGTGTTGTAGTGTATCAGGCAAAGCTGCTGCCCGCTTGCAGTGCCAGCATCCCATATGGGTGCTAGTTCAAGTCCCGGTTGCTCCACTTCCATTCTAGCTCCTTGCTAATGCACCTGGGAAAGCAGCAGAGAAGGGCCCAAGTGCTTGGACCCTTGCACCTGCGTGGGATACTGATCCTGCCTTTGGATCAGTACAGCTCCATCCATTACAGCCATTTGGAGAAGTGAACCAGTGGATGAAAGACCTCTCTCTCTCCCTGTCTTCCTCTCTCTGTCTGTAATGCTGCCTCTCAAATTAATAAATCTCTAAAACAAAAACAAATTATGACCTGTCCATACTGTAGCACAACAAACATTATCATGCTATGAATACTTTTGCTTTTCTTTTCTTTTCTTTTTTTTTTTCTTTTTTTTTTTTTTTTTTGGACAAGCAGAGTTAGATAGTGAGAGAGAGACAGAGAGAAAGGTCTTCCTTCCGTTGGTTCACCCCCCAAATGGCTGCTACGGTTGGCGTGCTGCGCTGATCTGAAGCCAAGAGCCAGGTGCTTCCTCCTGGTATCCCATGTGGGTGCAGGGCCCAAGCACTTGTGCCCTCCCAGGCCACCACAGAGAGCTGGACTTGAAGATAAGCAACCAGGACAAAACTGGAGCCCCAAACGGGACTAGAACCCGGGGTGCCAGTGCCGCAGGCGAAGGATTAGCCTAGTGAGCCATGGCGCCGGCCTTCCTTTTCTTTTTTAAAATAAATATTTTATATTTGAAAGGCAGAATTACAGAAAGATGGGAGAATCAAAGTTGAAATTATGGAAGTGAAAGTAAAGGAAGGGCTGGGGCTGTGGCGTGGCGAGTAAGGCTGCCACCTGCAGTGCCATCATCCCATATGGGCATCGGTTCAAATCTCGGTTGCTCCACCTCTGATCCAGCTCTCTGCTATGGCCTGGGAAAGCAGTGGAAGATGGCCCAAGTCCTTGGGCCCCTGCATCCATGTGGGAGATCCGGAGGAAGCTCCTGGCTCCTGACTTTGGATTGGTACAGCCCCAACCATTGCAGCCGTCTGGGAAGTGAACCAGCGGATCAAAGACCTCTCTCTCTCTGCCTATGCCTCTCTGTAATTCTGCCTTTCAAATAAATAAAGAAATCTTTTTAAAAAATATTTATTTATTTATTTGAAAGTCAGAGTTACACAGAGATAGGGGAGGCGCAGAGAGAGAGAGAGAGAGAGAGAGAGGTCTTCCATCCAATGGTTCATTCCCCAATTGACCACAACAGCAGGCTAGAACTGTGCTGATCTGAAGCCAGGAGCCAGGAGCTTCCTCCAGGTCTCCCACATGGGTGCAGGTGCCCGAGGTCTTGGGCCATCTTCTACTGCTTTCCCAGGCCATAGCAGAAAGCTGGATCAGAAGTGGAGCAGCCAGGTCTCGAACCGGCACCCATATGGGATGTCAGCGCTTCAGGCCAGGGCGTTAACCCCCTGTGCCACAGCACTGGCCCCAATAAATAAATCTTTAAAAATAAAAAAAAGTAAGTAAAGGAGGCTAGTTGATCTTCTATGTGAATATTATAGTTGCCTGAAGTGCTTTAGATTAGAATAAAGAATATTATGAAACAATACTATGAAACAAGTGGTAAAATCTTCAAAGAAAAAAATTCAGTTTTTCTAACTGGTAAATAATGATAATAATCAGAAGAATAGATGTCTTCTTCTAGAAAGTCAGGAGTCACTATACATAGGGATTATAATTTTTACTTCACAGATGTAAAAATATAGGCTGGGGGCTAGTGCTGTGGTGTACTGGCTAAGCCTCTGACTACAGTTCTGGCATCCTATAGAGGTGCAGGCTCAACTCCCAGCTGCTCCACTTCCAATCCAGCTCCCTGCTAATGGTCTGGGAAAGCAATGGAAGATGGCCCAAGTGCTTGGGCCTCTGCACCTGTGTGGGAGACCTGGAAGAAACTGCTGGCTCCTGGCTTTGGATTAGCTCAGCTCTGCCAGTTGCAGCCATTTGGGGAGTGAACCAGCAAATGGAAGACTTCTCTCTCTCCCTCTCTAAGTCTGCTTCTTCAACAAATAAATAAAACCTTTATTTAAAAAAATAGGCTGAAAAGATAACTGGTCCCAAACTACCCAATTACTAAATGGTATAACTAAGATGTAAATAAGGGTCTTTTCAACTCTCATTATACAAATGGGGCCGGCACTGTGGCATAGCAGGTAAAGCCACCGCCTGCAGTGCCAGCGTCTCATATGGGCACTGGTTCAAGTCCCTGCTGCTCCATTTCCCATCCTCTGCTATGGCCTGGGAAAGCAGTAGAAGATGGCCCAAGTCCTTGGGCCCCTGTGACCATGTGGGAGACCTGAAGAAGCTCCTGGCTCCTGATCTCAGCACACCTCTGGCCACTGTGGCCAACTGGAGAGTGAACCAGCAAATGGAAGACCTCTCTCTCTCTCTGCCTCTCTTCTTTCTGTACAACTCTGACTTCCAAATAAACAAATCTTAAAAAAAATAAAAAACAAATGTCCTAGAAAGGAAATCCACAAATTTTTAGTTTTTCAAACAGAAAGATGCAATTCAAAAGGCATATTCCTAGGGTGAACATTTGACTCAGTGATCAAGATGCTGCTGGGGAAGCTCCTCATCTCATACAGAAGCTCAAGTCTTGCTCCACTCCCAATCCCAGCTTCCTGCGAATGCCCATCTTTATTAAAATAATTATAAAAAAATAATTATATAAAAAATACTTCTGTCTCTGCTATCTACACTGAAGACCTGGATTGAGTTCTGGATATTCGGCTTCAGTCTGATCTAGCCCCATTTGTTGCTGACACTGGGGAATGAACTTGTGGATAGAAGCTGATTTGTGTGCTGTGTGTTTGCCTTTCAAATAAGAAAGAAAAGAAAGAAGAGGGGAGGGGAGGGAAGGTATATTCCTGAAATAAAATACATTTCCAAACATGGAAAAATACATACTTAAAAAGTGATTCACGGGGCCAGCGCTGTGGCTTAGTGGGTAAAGCCACTGTCTTGGGTGCCGGCATCCCATGTGGGCACTGGTTCAAGCCCCAGCTGCTCCACTTCCTATCCAGCTCTCTGCTTTGTCCCAGGAGGGTAGTGGAAAATGGCCCACGCCCTTGGGCTCCTGCACCCACATGGGAAGACCTGGGGGAGGCTCAGCTCCTGGCTTTGGAATGGCTCAGCTCCAGCCATTGCAGCCAATTGGGGAGTGAACCAGCGATGGAAGACCTTTCTCTCCTATCTCTCTCTCTCTCTGCCTCTCCTTCTCTCCCTGTGTAACTCTGACTTTCAAATAAATAAATAAATATTTTTAAAAAAAGTGATTCAGGGGGCTGGTGCTGTGGTATAGCAGGGTAAAGCTACCACCTGCAACGCTGGCATCCCATATGGACACCAGTTCGAGTCCCAGCTGCTCCACTTCTGATCCAGCTCTCTGCTGTGGTCTGGGAAAGCAGTACGAGATGGTCCAAGTCCTTGGGCTCCTGTGCCTGCATGGGAGATCCAGACAAAGCTCCTGGCTTCGGATTGGCCCAGCTCCAGCTATTATGGCCTTTTGGGGAGTGAACCAGTAGGTGGAAGACCTCTTTCTCTTACACTTTCCCTTTCAAATAAATAAGTCTTTTTTAAAAAATACATTATTAAAAAAAAAAAAAAGTGATTCAGGCGCTGGCACCGTGGTATATCAGGTAAAGCTGCCGCCTGCAACACTGGAATCCCACATGGGCACTGCTTCGTTTCCTGGCTGTTCCACTTTCTATTCAGCTCCCTGCTAATGCTCCTGAGAAAGCAGCAGAGGATATGGCCCAAATACTTGGGCTCCTGCATCTATGTGGGAGCCTAGAAGACGCTCCTCACTTCTGGCTTCAGTCTGATCCAGCCCTGACCACTAGAGCCATTTGGGGAATGATCCAGCAAATAGAAGACTCTCTCTGCCTCTCTGTAATTTTTTTAAAAAAGGTATTTCTGTGTCTCCCTCTCTCTCAGTAATTCTGCCTTTTAAGTAAATCTTTTTAAAAAAGTTATTCCGCTTTTAAATTTATCCTCAGAGCTTTTTGAAAAATAGTTAGATAAATGATTGAAAAAGTGGCAGTTAATAACTTTATGGACATTAATTATTTCTTTAGCTGGATTAACATTTTTTATATTACTAAAATAAAGCAACTGAAATTAGGTTTTTATACCAACTGCACAGTAATACATATGCAAACTGGCTAAAAGTTGCCCCTTTTATTTAACAAAAACCTTTTAGACAGTTAACAGAAGGTTACTTCAAATAATTCAAGAAGATGCAGGCATTGTGGCATAAAGAATTAAGCCCCTCCTTGGGGCACCAGTAAGCCATATCAGATTGTCTGGGACAAGTCCCACATCAGCTTTTAATTCAGGTACCTACCAATGTACCTGGGAGGGAATAGCTGAAGGCCCAAGTACTTGGATTCCTGCCAGCCATGTGGGAGACCCAGATGGAATTCTTGGCTCCTGGCTTTGTCCAATCCCAGCCCTGACTGTTGCAGGCATTTGGAGAGTGAACTAGCAGGTACATCCCACCCCCACCCCCAACCCCTACCTCTCTCCTCCCTTCCTCCCTCCCTCTCTCTTCTGCCTTTCAAATAAAATAAATATTTTTTTTAGCAATCGGTCATACAGATTCAATTAAAAAAAATTCCTACCAGCTCATTATGATCCTCTCTGAATACTCCCATGAACAACCTTCCAATTATAATCATGCACATTTGGCATCAAATGTATTACACAGTCATTTCTAATGCCTAGGCTGTATGATCTTTAGCCTGAAATAATGTCGCTTCCATCTACTGGTTTGTTTATATATCATTTTAAAAATTATAAAAAGTACTTTTTACATCATGACTGCACATAAATGAATGAATTTTTTTAAATACCTTCAATATTACTTGTAACACAAAATAGATAACTAATATACTGACAAAAACAAAATACCTGATAGGTGTTGTCAAAACTGTCATACATGAATCTGGTGATCAAGGATGTCTTTCCAACTGAAATAAAAAAAAAATTTGTTCAGTGAACACATTATATAGGGTTCTCAGAAAATTCTACAAAGAATGGAAAATATCTGCAACAGTTCTACAAATAATAATTAAAAATCATATAGCCCCAAAGTTTGTCAATATGACCTTCTATGACAACAACTTCTCCAAACTTAAAAAAAAAAAAAAAAAAAAAAAAAAAAAAAAAACAGCTAAAGAGTTGAGAAAAAGAAGAAAAGAGGATGGAGGACAACGACCTTAACATTCCTAATTGGGGCCAGCACTGTGGCATAGCAGATAAAGCTGCTGCCTGCAATGCCAGCATCCCATATGGGTGCCGGCTGTTCCACTTCCAATCCAGCTCTCTGCTATGACCTGAGGGATCAATAGAAGGCCCAAGTACCCATGTGGGAGACCCAGAAGAAGCTCCTGGCTCCTGGCTTCGGATTGGCACAGCTCCAGCCATTGTGGCCAATCGGGGAGTGAACCAGCGGATTAAAGACCTCTCTCTCTCTCTCTGCCTCTCCTCTCTCTGTGTAACTCTGACTTTCAAGTAAATAAATAAATTTTTTTTCAAAAAATTGCCTAATTTACAACAGGCCAAGCAGGTATATACTTGCATCCTAACAAAAAGAACTGGAGGTTCAAGTCCACTTCATTTAATGAATCAACGTGCTAACACTGAAAGTAGAAAGATGAAAGAGTCAAGACAAATATGAGTGCTCAAGAGTGAGAAAGAGGGGACGGCGCTGTGGCACAGCGGGTTAATGCCCTGGCCTGAAGCGCCGGCAGACCATATGGGCACCGGTTTGAGGCCCGGCTGCTCCACTTCCGATCCAGCTCTCTGCTATGGCCTGGGAAAGCAGTAGAAGATGGCCCAACTCCTTGGGCACCTGCACCCGCGTGGGAGACCTGGAAGAAGCTCCTGGCTCCTGGTGCATCTCCGGCCGTTGCGGCCAATTTGGGAGTAAACCAGTGGATGGAAGACCTCTCTCTCTCCTCTCTGTGTTAACGCTTTCAAATAAATAAATAAACCTTTAAAAAAGAGAGAGCGAGAAAGATGTGACATGAAAAGCTGTTTTGAAACTTGAAGAGGGAGAGAGAGAACGTTCCATCTATTGATTCACTTCCTAAATGGCCACAACAGCAGGAGCTGAGCCAGTCCAAAGCCATGTGGGTGGCAGGGGCCCATGGACTTGGGCCATCCTCTGCTGTTTTCCCACGTGCATTAGCAGAGAGCTGGATCAGAAGTGAAACAGCCAGGGCTCATAAACCATATAGGATCCCAAGTGCTTTTGCATCCACATGGGAGACCCAGAAGAAGCTCCTGGTTCTGAGCTTCGGATAGACCCAGCTCCAACCACTGCAGCCATTGGGGAGTGAACCAACGGATCTCGATCTCTCTCTCTCTCTCTCACCCCACCCTCTGTAACTCTGCCTTTCAAATAGATATTTTTTTAAAAAAAGAAAAAACAAGGGGGAGGGATGCCAGTACTGATGGCTGAAGGCCATGGCTTAACCTCTTAACCTGCTGTGTCACAGCACTGGCCCCTTAAAATTTTTTTAAAGACATTTATTTCAAAGTCAGAGTTAATATACAGAGGGAAAAAGAGATCTTCCATCTGCTGGGTTCACTCACCAAATAGCAGCAACAGTCAGGACTGGGTTAAGCCAAAGCCAGGATCTCCTATGTGGTGGCAAGGTCCAGGCATTTGGACAGTGGTCTGCTGCATTCCCAGATTTCTTTTTCTTTTTAGGCGGAGAGAAGCCAGGAGGGGCTAGCCTTGGGGCAAAGCAGGTTAAGTCAAAGCCTGCACTCCCAAATTGGAGGGTGGGTTCAGGTCCCAGCTGCTCTGCTTTCAAACCAGCTCCCTGCTAATGAGCCCAGAAAAGCAGCAGCAGCAGATGGCCTAGTACTTGAGTCCCAGACAGCCGTGCAGGAAACTGATGGAGTCCCTGGCTCCTGTCTTCAGCATGGCCCAGCCCCAACCCTGCTGGCCAGCTGGAGAATGAACCAACAATGAAAGATCTTCTCTGTCTCTCTGCCCTTCAAAGAAAATCCCATAGTAGCTGGGACTGGGATAGATGAAAGCCATGAGCTCAATCAGACTCTCCCATATGGAAAATCATCCCTGTTGCTTTGCAGAGTGAACATTAGCAACAGCTGGAATAAAAAGCAAACTCAGGCACTCAGATACAACATGCAGGCATCATAAGCAATGTCTTAACTGCTATGCCAAATACCTGGCCCTGGATTAACATTTTTAATGACATTTCTCAGAATAAAGAAGCTTTTCAATCCCAAAATACTTTCTCCCATGAAATTATCTTTCAAAAGTAAAGGTTAAATAAAAATTCTTGCAGTTAAACAAAAATGAGAATTCCTTGCCAGGAGACTATATACACAAAAACTTAAAGCCTTTCTTATGGCTAAGGCAACCGACATCATATAGTGACCATAAATGGTAAATAAAGATTATATTTCTTCTAATTTAAGACACACAACTGTGTTTAAGTAAAACAGTAATGTTACGAAGTTTATAATACAGATTTAATAAATCACAACTATAATACAAAGGATAGGGAGAGATGTAAATAACTATACTAGGTCAAGGTTTCTATAATAGTATGGACTGTGAGGGTAATGAGGCATATTGTAAGCCCTAGTATAATCATTAAAAAATGCAAAAAAAACTTAAAAGTCAACAAAGGGGAGTAGGTGTTACGGTACAGTGATTCAAAAGAGGAACAGCTAGGACTCTAACAGGTACCCATATGGGATGCCAACATTGTAGGCGGCATCACTATACCACGATGCTAGCCTCAGAGCCACGGGGGTTAAGATCTGCTCGAGACAGGGGACACTGCAGCAGGTAAAGCTGCTGCCTGCAGTGCCAGCATCCCATAGGGATGCCAGTTAGAGTCCTGGCTGCTCCATTTCCAATCCTGCTCCCTGCTCATGTCCTGGGAAAGCAACAGAAGAAAGTCCAAGTCCTTGGGCCCCTGCACCCACATGGGAGACCCAGAAGAAGCTCCTGGCTCTGTTTCAGCCAACTGGGGAGTGAACCAGCGGATGGAAGACACCTCTCTCTCTCTCTGCCTCTCCTTCTCTCTCTGTGTAACTCTGACTTTCAAATAAATAAATAAGTCTTAAAAAAAGAAAAAAAAAAAGACATCCATATCCCATATCAGAGTGCCTGGGTTTGAGTTCCCACTCCACTCTGAATCCAGCTTTCTGCTAATACATATTAGCTAAGGCAGCAGGTGATGCCTCAAGCAGTTGGGTCCCTATCACCTATGTGTGAGATTCATTTCAAATTCCCAGTTTTTGGCTTTGGCCTGGAACAGCCCTGGCTATTTTAGGCATTTGTGGAGTGAACCAATCAATGGAAAACCTCTCTCTGCCTCTCTCCCTCTTCTCTTGTTACTCTGCCTTTCAAATAAATTTAGAATTATTAATTTATCTTACAAAAGTCAATAGAGGAATCAAAATGACAGGAAAATAAGAAAAAACAAATGCGACAAAACTAATTGACAAAATGAGATACTAAAACCCAGCCATATTAATTTGTGGAAACACATAAAAAAGAGGACTTAAAATCCCAATTAAACGATCGAGATGGGCTGAATGAAGAAATAAGACACAATTATTCGCTGTCTTAAGAGCACACTTTAAGGGCCAGCGTTGTGGTGTACCAGGTAAAGCAGCCTCCTGCAATGCCAGCGTCCCATGAACACTGGTTCAAGTCCCAGCCACTCCACTTTTGATCCAGCTCCCTGCTAATGGCCTGGGAAAAGCAGTGGAAGATGGACCAAGTGCCTGGGCCCCTGCTACCCATGTGGGAGACTCAGAAGAAGCTCAGGGCTTTGGCCTGACCCAGGCCTGCCCATTGTTGCCACCTGGGGAGTGAACCAGAGGATGAAAGATTCTGTCTCTCCTTCTCTCTATAACTCTTTCAAATAAATAAGTAAATCTTTAAAAAAATATATTTAAAAACCCTACACTCTAGAGCTGGCATTGTGGCACAGCAAGTTAAGCTGCTCATCAGCATCCCATATGAGCACTGGTTCAAGTCCCTGCTGCTGCAATCCAATTAAAATCCCTGCTACTGCCCCTGTGAAAAGCAGTAGCAAACAGTTCAAGTACTTGGGCCTCTGTTATCCATCTGAGAGTCCCAGATGGAGTTCCAGGCTCCTGGCTTCAGCCTGGCCCAAAATCAACCATTGCAGCCTTTTGGAGAGTGAACCAGCAGATCAAAGACCTCTCTCTCAAAGATGGTATAGTGGGTAAGGCTGCTTCCCGCAGTGCCGACATCCCATATGGAGTCCCAGCTGCTCCACTTCAATCCAGCTCTCTGCTATGGCCTAGGAAAGCAGAAGATGGCCCAAGTCCTTGGGCCCCTGTACCTATGTGGGTGACCTGGAAAAAGCTCCTGGCTCCTGGCTTTGGATCAGCCCAGCTCCAGCCGTTGTGGCCATTTTGGGGAGTAAATCAGCAGATGGACAACCTCTCCCTACTTCTGCTTCTGTCTTTGCCTTTCAAATAAAAAAATAAATCTTCAAAAAATAAAAAAAGATGAGAATGGTCTAATTCAAAATCATTTAATATATGTAATCTACTAAACATCATAGATTAGCAGTATCAGTTGTTCACTGCCTGGGAGTTGTGGCCTGCTGCTGCCCAGCACAGTGACAGTATGTTACCACCTATCATTAACCCAGGAAAAGATCAAAACTCAAAATTCAAAATATAGCTTCTGCAGAGTACTATCACATCCATACCAGTGTAATGTCAAAAAAACAGTACATAGAACTACTGTAAGTTGTTGATTATCAAAGGGATAAAAGGCTAGTTTAACCATATAAAAAAATCAGTCAATTGACATAATCCAGATAACTATTTAGCAAAATTCAACATAAAATCAGGATGAAAATTCTGAGCTAACCAGCAGACCAAAATAGAAGAAAACTTGATCAATTTGGTAAAGGGTATCTACTTTGAACCTACA